GGTCCAGAACCCCTAATCATATCACCAACACCCCAAAGTAAAAAACAAACTGGGAAGGGCTGGCTGAGATACCCAATGGTGCCCCTCCCACGAGAAAAAAAATTGACCATACAAATTCCTTGTTGAATTGTTGTTTTCCCGATGGACCCCAGTGCATATGATTCGACGTTCAGCGTGTAACGTGTGCCAATGGAGCAGGCCAGCAATATATGCTCTGGATCCGAAGTCAGGTCTGCTTTCCCACTGTCTCCAGCAGTTATGGGTAAGTGGTGACGAGTGGAGCAAGGCCGTTTGGGCCACTGCTCGTAGGGAAACAAAAGCTTGAAAAAAGAAAATAAAAAGAGAAGGAAAAAAAAAAAACACAGAGGAATGAATCTTCTGCTAGAACATGGACTCATACGCTGGGCCTTGCCTATCAAGTGTAGCATCTGTTCTGGTCAGTTTAATATCTGCTCCATGGTCCATAGGACCACACTAAAAAAAAAAGAAAACAAACAAGGGCCTTGCCCCACTCGTCACCACTGGCACAAAAGACAAAACACATGGCGAAGTATGGTTCCATGTTCTAGCAGAAGATTCATTCCTCTCTTTTTTTTGTTTCCTTCTCTTTTTATTTTCTTTTTTTAAGCTTTTGTTTCCCTACGAGCAGTGGCCCAAACGGCCTTGCTCCACTCTTCACCACTTACACAAAAGACAAAACATATGGCTCCATGTTTTAGCAGAAGATTCATTCTAGTTTTGCACGTTTGGTGAAAAGTGGAGGGAAGTCCTGGAAAGCACACGAGTTGGCCTTCTACTGCCCAGAAACTCGTGTGCTCAGTGGTCCCATAACTCCTGAAACGAGGACCTTAATGTGAATCAACAGCATATATACTCGGCGTGCCACTACTCTTGTACGAGTATTATTTGGTTCACGGTGAGTTAGCCCTGGCATATTATGGGCAAGGGCTTCTCAAACAGCCCCCGAGGGTTAAGAAAAAAAAAAAAAGGAGCTATTTGTTTCCCCTCCCCCCTCAACCCCACCCCTCCAACCCCCGCACCCCTGACACCCGACCCCCGCCGACCTCCGCACCTCCGACCCTGGCCAACCCCTGCACCTGTCTCTTATACACATCTAGATGTGTATAAGAGACAGACCCCCGACCCCGGACCCCTCCGACCCCCGCCCCCTGTAAGCCCGACCCCCTCCACAGGTGGCAGCCACCCCGGGGGGGGGGGGAAGGACCCCTGATTTCTGAAAAAAACAGAAGTTGTCAGGGGATGTGCGGTGTCGGTGCGCACCCCCCGGTATTTCTTTTTTTTTTTCCGATTTGTTTTTCGATTTTTTTTTATTTTTTTTTTCGGGGCCGGTGTACAGACACCTGACCCCCGGGACCCCCGCCAGGGCCCCGGGCCCGGAGGTCGACAACCCTGATTGGAATCCTTTGACGAAACGCATGTAATAGGATGCTAAGCCGAGAAAGGAGCAGACGTCGGTGGTACACACGTTGTCCGGCCAATCTTGGATGGCTTGTACTTTGTCCGCGAGCGGACGAATCCCTTGCGGTGTGACGTAATGGCCCAAGTACTTCAACTCTTGCTGGGCAAACTCGCATTTTTCACGGTTTGCTTTGTACTTGGCAATACGGAGCCGCTCCAAAACGATGCGAAGGTGCTCGAGGTGCTCGTCCAACGACCGACTATAAACCAAGATGTCATCGAGGTAAATGAGTACGGAGCGGTCGAGCTGGTCGTGGAATTCCGTTGTCATAGCTGCTGTGAAAGTAGCCGGGCCATTGGTAAGGCCGAAAGGCATGAAGATCCACTCAAAGTGCCCATACCACGTCTTCAATGAGGTCTTGTGCCGATCTCATGGCTGAATCTCAATCTGGTGGTAGCTGGATTTGAGGTCCAACTTCGAGAAGTACTTGGCGCTGCCGCGTCGCTCGAGGAGATCATCGATCCGAGGGAGAGGGCCGACGTTCTTGATCGTTTGTGCGTTAAGTTTCCCATAGTCCTTGTTCTTCTTCCAGACGAAGAGAACGGGAGCACCGTATGGCAAGCAGCTAGGGCGAATCCAGCCCTTGGCCAAGAGGTCGTTTAGTTGTGCCCGAAGCACTTGAAACTCCTCTTTGCTCATGCCGTAGATACATCTACGTGGAGGTACGACGCCATCCTCGAGAGTGATCCCATGACGTATGGGCCGATCCGGTACTACTCCGGCGGGAGCTTGGAAGACATCCTCATAGTTGTCCAACAACTCTATAATACGTGGGTCTGATGTGTCCGGCTTGCGTTGGTCAACGGGAGGGAGGGCGTAAAGAAAGCAAATGCCCATCTCCTTGACGTCGTGCCGACTGATGGATTGGCGAATTCTCGCCGCGGATACAACTTGGCAACCAATTGAAGGATGAGGAGGCGGCACCGTACATGGAACAAGTTCGCCACACCGATCACGAACGTGAACGGTGCGTCGAAAGAAGTTTATCGGATGGTCTTCGCTTTGCAGCCACGACATGTCTAGGATCATATCGAACTTAGTGTCCAATATGTCGAATGACACGGCCTCACATCCTAGCGGGGCGAAGCACACGGGCACGGAGTCAACGCAGCGGTCGGTTGACTTTTGCGTGTGACCGTCGGCCAACGTGACGTGCGTGGGCTGACTTTTCCTTAGAATGCGCGGGCCTAGGCCGGCGCATGCCATGAAGTCTTGGCTGATGTAGTTGCGAGACACTCCACAATCGATCAAGGCGCTGTAGGCCGCCTTTTCGATCTGAATGCGGATGTAGAGGAGCGACGCGTCGATGTCGACGTACCGTTCAAGTTGCGTTGCGTACTCGCGCTCAATTTTCGCGAGGTAGTTGCGAAGGTCAACAACCTCTACTCCGCCGCATGTCGACGGAGGTGGTACTGCAGCATGCAAGTATTCACGCAAGTGTGCCATGAGGGCGTTGCAATGCAGTGTAATTAAAGAACTGGTGGAGGGAAGAGGCAAGCATTGGAAGTCCTCAACCATCAACGGGTCGAGTTCCTCAAGATTCGCCCAAGTTGACGGATTTTCCGATATTAGGGCTGGCGAGGCAACCGGTTCGTTGTCCGACGGCGGTAACACCGCGCATGCGCTAGAAGCTTGCACGTGGATAGGTTGGTTCAACGGTGGGACCAGCTCGACAACATAGGTCTCGAAGTCAATTCGAGAGCTTGCGATTGCCGCATCATTCCCGGATGTGAGAGAGACTGCTAGCAAGGCAACCGAATCTGGCGGAATGGGAAGTGTTGTCGCGACACTTCCCGTGGTGATCAGTTTTCCGAGCTTGGACGCTTGACATTTTCCTAGTCCTTATCGAGGCAGGCACTCGTGATGTGTTTGGTCGTGTTGCACCACAAACAACATCCCCATTTCTGGCTCAACTTGACCTTGTTCTCGGTGATACCGAACTTTGTCCATGGTGATTGTCGTGCTCGATCCACCGGCGCTGCTTTCGCCTTCTTTCCCCCTTGGGGTCTTGAGCGTTGCGGTGGTAGCGCTGCCGCCACATCTCCATCACTTGATGTTGGAACGACTGCGTGGTCCTCACTTGGTCCTTGCTGGACTGCGGCTACGTGCGGCGTCCGTTGACCTTTTCCTTTCTCCACGTAACCGGGCTGCGGGCGACGCTCGTTGGCCGCACGCCGGTTACCTTGTATGAGTTCTCTAGCCTTGGCGATCATGTCGTCGAAGGCCTCATACTGAAATTCGCTGGCAAGGGCAGCTATCAAGGCATCGCAAGAGTGGGCGAAAAATTCGGCCCGAATTGCGTCGAACGGTAAGTTCAACTCTGGGGTGGCGAGGAGTCTTTGGCACTCCGTCAGCCACTCCCGTGAAGGTTGCTGGCCTTGAAAGATGCGGAAGATCTTGTTCAAGGCATGATGCTTGTCGTTGTTCACCATGAACCGGGTCTTCCATTTATTCTCGAATTCCTCCCACGTGATCTTCTTGTGGAGGGTGGTGATGGTACATTCTAGTGTGACGGCCATGTGTGTCATGAATGTCTGCACTCCTCCGATGAGTTGGAGGTAGAGTGCATGCATCCGCCATGTAGGCGGGGTATGACGTACGTCGGCCTCCGCATTGAATGCCATCAACCATTGCAGCGGATCAGTCTTATGGTAATCATCGAACTTCTCGATCTTGAAGTTCGGCATCTTCCATTCTTGATGACAGCAGCTGCTCGTTGTTGAACTTGGTCGTTGAGCGTCTGCAGCTGACTGCTGTTGATGCTCTAGCAAACTTGCTGATGTTGCCAAGCGATGCGACGATGTGGTTGATCCACTCATCGAATTGCTTGGTTTGAGCTGCCAAAGCTGGGCTGCAGTCTGAAACTGCACCGCCCGTTGACTCGACTGCAGACAGTCGTGCCAACCCAGCGTTGACAAAGGTCTGCAGTCGGTCGTTGATGGCTTGCTGTTGGCTGTCGGCGGCCTGCAGTATGCTGTTTGCGGCCTGTAGGTCCACGATCTTCTTGTCCATTGCCTTAATCATGCCTTTGTGGCGGATGAAGATCTGCCGCATGGCCAGCAGTTCACGTTGCTGGCAATTGCACGTGTACAGCAGGTTCTCGATCAAAACTGTTGTGGTTTCCCTGTTTCTCTCGTCCTCGGTCGGCTCCTCTTGCTCCTCAATTGCTCGGAAGTGCTGCTGTTGAAGGACATTGCGGTACGTGGATTCTTCAGTTAAGAGGTCCATTGCAGCCTGGTAGCGAGCCTGAGTCTGACTGGCCTCGACCTGTCGTTGTTGTAGACGTGTCGTTGCTGCGGCTTCGGCTGCAGCCTGCTGACGTGCTTCTTCGGCTTCTTCTAGCTGGCGTTGAATCGCCTGCTTGCAAGCGGCCTCTTCTTCTTCCCACTTGCGCAGTTCGGCGGCAGCAGTCTCCGTGTACTTTTGGCGACGTTCGAGAAACGCGAGCTGCAGTTCATCTGTCCGCCGAACTGGCATGGGAGGAGTGACCGGCCTCGAGGGGCTGGCCTGCATGTTGAGATCGGCTGCTGCAGCCATGGCCGTGCGTTGTCTGCACGGGATCCGAGGTGTCTGAGGTCCCAGTTGGGGCTTGGTTCCCTTGGATTCGCACTCAGCAAGTCGTTGACTGCAGCGCATCTAGTGTCCCGGGTGCACGTTGCTGCTGACGTGTGATTGTTGAGTTGGCAACCGGCTGACGTGGCACTCTGCTGACGTGTCACTCTGCTGACATGGCACTCTGCTGACGTGTCACTCTGCTGACGTGGCCCTCTGCTGACGTGGCACTCTGCTGACGTGTCCGAAGACTGAAGTCCGTAGAACCGAGGGGAAGGAAGAGAAAGGGAGGGGTGGGGAAGAAGGAGAGGCAGGCACGCAATGCACAGACGGTCCCTTTCTGCCCTGACCTCGGGCCTGACACTAATCAAAAGCGAAAAATTTCCCGCCCCCGAAATTTTTAAATTTTTGAAAAATTAAATAATTAATTATTAATAAATTTAATCGGAAAATACGGATTAAATAAATAAAAGTCTCTTCTGGCAAAATCAAATATTTAATTGAGGTATTTAAAATGTGCAAAAAATTTCGGCAAAAATTAAATATTTAATTAACGAATTTTTAATTTGCAAAAATGAATAAGCAAGATTAATAATGTAACGGAGTTAATTAAATAATTTCATGAATTGGAAACGGGAGATTTAGCATCGTCACAAGGTCATGAAGTAAGTAGAAGCATAATGGTAATCGGAAGATACACTAATTGCCATAAAGATTTAAGCCTTAAATCGCAAAAACAGATACATTTGCAAAAAGTGAAAGTTTTGCGAAGTTGCTGTTGAAAATGGCCATGCTCAGGCCCGATCTGCCTGAACTGGCGCAGTGCCTGGCTGGCGCTTACTTCCTGTAGTCCGTTAGTTCGTTAGGTTAGAGTAGGTTAGGTCTAACAATAATTACTGCTAATTAGGTTAATCGTGATCAGCGATTCCCTAATTAGGCGCTGTATGGAGAAAGCCGCCAAACCAAAACTAAACGAGAAACGGCCTAATTAATTTGCAGGAAGGAACAAAATAATTTTTTTTTGCAACTTATGAATAATGATAACAGAGTACAGGTAGATCTCAATCAATCGATCGATCAATCAATCGATCAATCAATTAATCAATTAATCAATCAATCAATCAATCGATCATGAGTCAGTGCACTGCAATCCTGGTCTGCTCCGATACCAAACTGTTACATACTCGTGAATTCAGACATAAGTATGGTGCAGAATCCCAGAACCGACCAGACAATACAGAGCAATTACAAATACAGCGGAAGACTTGATACACATGGACGGACTCTGACCTGACTCGGACTGCAGCGAAACACTCCCAACATACATCCAAGGTGAGAAAGCCCTGGCCTTGGATCTGGAAGAGGAAGGCCAGGGTCTGAATCATACACGGACGAAATGGAGGGGGCAGGAGAGACGAAGGAGGAGGAGAGGGAAGATGACATCAGCACCGTGTATCCAAAAATAGTATCTCGAATGTCAAAAGTAGCGCAAAACCAGAATGTCGTGAATACAGAGTCTCATGATGTTCCAGATATCAATCCTCGAATGTCAAGATACATCCCCGGTAGTAGATGAAGTCAAATCCCGAAAGTAGTCCTCAATCGATGTCTCAATGTTACCATCCCAACTGTTATCAGAAGTCGTCACCATCTCTCATACCCGTAGTAGTCCAATAGGCTAGACNAGAGAGAGAGAGAGAGAGAGAGAGAGAGAGAGAGAGAGAGAGAGAGAGAGAGAGAGAGAGAGAGAGAGAGAGAGAGAGAGAGAGAGAGCGGAGGAGGAAGAGGGAGGAAAGGCAGGACCTTTCCCCCTGGTACCTGCAAACGTGGCTATGGCGCTGCAGAGCTGGGCTGGCCCGGTGTCAGGCGCTGCCCCAGCTATCGCACTAACTCCACCTTGCCGCTGCGCGTCTTCACTCCTCGCTGCCTCTGCCAACGCTGGAGCGCTGCGCTAATTCTGCTCACGCTGAAACGCTGCGCTAATCTGAGAGCCTAACCTGTAGACTAACCTGCACGCCCTAATCTGAAGACTGAGGCTGGTACCCAGCCTTTGTAGTGCTGGGCCGGCCTCCTGCCTACTGGTACCTACCGGCCTGGACCGTTGATCCGATCAACAGTCCAGATTCAAAACTGGACTTTCGCGCCTAAACGCGGGAGCCTCTGAAACACGCCGCCGGTAGGTCCTATGCTGGACCGGTACCGGCCTTGTGGCCGTTGGCCTGGGCCCTTACCCCTGGCCTACCTGGGCCTCATCTGAACCGTCGTCCCCTTAGGCCTACCCTGCCTACCTGGAACCGGATCCTGGCTGGGCCCGTGTGGCTCAGAATGCCACAGGGGTACTACCAGCGCCAGATTGATTCTGATGTAGAATTGCCGAGGGTGGTAGCCCTAAAGGATAGAATGAGGCTTAAGTACGTTATCTCTGAAAAGACTGGCCCTACAGGTCCATGAACCTGGTGCAAAAACAGCGCCTTTGGGCTGGTAGTACCAAACGGCAGAACTTTGGGCGCCCAAAACCGAAAAGGTTTTGCATGCGCGCTTTCGACCAATTATCCCCTACCGGCCCACCCGACTCTCCAAGTGCCCTGCCGGATCATGAATCTGGTGCATAAATACTGCCAGATTCATTCTGATGTAGAAGAGGCCGAGGGTGGTACCCCTAAAGGATAGAACGAGGCCAAACGGCAGAACTTTGGGCGCCCAAAACCGAAAAGGTTTTGCATGCGCGCTTTCGACCAATTATCCCCTACCGGCCCACCCGACTCTCCAAGTGCCCTGCCGGATCATGAATCTGGTGCATAAATACTGCCAGATTCATTCTGATGTAGAAGAGGCCGAGGGTGGTACCCCTAAAGGATAGAACGAGGCCAAACGGCAGAACTTTGGGCGCCCAAAACCGAAAAGGTTTTGCATGCGCGCTTTCGACCAATTATCCCCTACCGGCCCACCCGACTCTCCAAGTGCCCTGCCGGATCATGAATCTGGTGCATAAATACTGCCAGATTCATTCTGATGTAGAAGAGGCCGAGGGTGGTACCCCTAAAGGATAGAACGAGGCCAAACGGCAGAACTTTGGGCGCCCAAAACCGAAAAGGTTTTGCATGCGCGCTTTCGACCAATTATCCCCTACCGGCCCACCCGACTCTCCAAGTGCCCTGCCGGATCATGAATCTGGTGCATAAATACTGCCAGATTCATTCTGATGTAGAAGAGGCCGAGGGTGGTACCCCTAAAGGATAGAACGAGGCCAAACGGCAGAACTTTGGGCGCCCAAAACCGAAAAGGTTTTGCATGCGCGCTTTCGACCAATTATCCCCTACCGGCCCACCCGACTCTCCAAGTGCCCTGCCGGATCATGAATCTGGTGCATAAATACTGCCAGATTCATTCTGATGTAGAAGAGGCCGAGGGTGGTACCCCTAAAGGATAGAACGAGGCCAAACGGCAGAACTTTGGGCGCCCAAAACCGAAAAGGTTTTGCATGCGCGCTTTCGACCAATTATCCCCTACCGGCCCACCCGACTCTCCAAGTGCCCTGCCGGATCATGAATCTGGTGCATAAATACTGCCAGATTCATTCTGATGTAGAAGAGGCCGAGGGTGGTACCCCTAAAGGATAGAACGAGGCCAAACGGCAGAACTTTGGGCGCCCAAAACCGAAAAGGTTTTGCATGCGCGCTTTCGACCAATTATCCCCTACCGGCCCACCCGACTCTCCAAGTGCCCTGCCGGATCATGAATCTGGTGCATAAATACTGCCAGATTCATTCTGATGTAGAAGAGGCCGAGGGTGGTACCCCTAAAGGATAGAACGAGGCCAAACGGCAGAACTTTGGGCGCCCAAAACCGAAAAGGTTTCGCATGGGCGCTTTGCACCAATTATTCCAGGCGCGCCCTCTCATAAGAAAAGGTAACGTCAGTAGAGTTATAATTGCAGTATGGGGCAAGATACAGTTTGTAATTGCACTTCAGGCACCATACCTGCCCAGAAAGCTGGCTTGTATACATTGCCCGAACTGCAATTCGAGACTGTATCATGCCCCATAGTGCAATTCCCTACCTGGCCAGAAAGCTGGGTTGTATACATTGCCCGAACTGCAATTCGAAACTGTATCTTGCCCCATTGTGCAAATATAACTCATTTTTGTGACTCCCGCGTAGTTTCCCCTTTTTATTTTTTATTTTTATCATCATGGACTGCCGGATCATGAATCTGGCGCATAAATACTGCGAGATTCATTCTGATGTAGAAGAGGCTGAGGGTAGTACCCCTATAGGATAGAACGAGGTGCTGCTTTGTGAAGCATGCTCCCCTTGTGACTCATTCACACACACACACAGAG